CCCGCTCCTGCTGCCTTTGCTCATCTCTTTTCCGGGCACCAGCCAGTTTGACGGTTCCTTTGCAGATTGTGGCCCCTCGCTGGTCCCGGTCATTCTTGCGGAGCCATGGCAGATGTTCAAGTTGCCGATGGGGCGAGCGGGTCCCTCGAGCAGAGGATCGCACAAGACAAGTGTCCGGACTGGAACTAGGCAGTGCAGCTGTGGGTGACAGCAAAGTGCCGTGCTCCCTGGCTGTGTGGCACACCGAGGAAGAGGATTGCTTCCTCCGGTGACTCAAGAGGAGAGCTCTGCAGGGGGAGAGAATTCAGTTACCTTTTATTCCCCTCAAACCTCAGTGATATTGATTGCAACAGAGAAGCCAGCAGCGATAATGACTCTGCACAAACAAAGAGCATGGATCAGCTGTGCCACGGCCAGCACCCAGCGACTCTGGTCTTGGGGAGAGAAGCATCTGCTCTCGAGCTGCCGTACGGGCGCTGTCCTCGTCAAGGAGCAGAGCAGTGTGATAGCTAATTAGCCAAACAGACGATCAAGCGGCCAAGCAGAACTGGGCTGTTCCAGAGCAAATCACCATCTCTCGCTAAGCCGAGCTGCCTTGACGGGGCCCTGCCGTACGCTGGGGCGTCCAAGCTCTGTCCCGAGGGGGGGATGCTGGTGGGGACCGGTGAGGGATGCATGGCCGAGCATCGTGGCGCAAGGAGGTTGGGCAGTGGCAGTGCGGCCCATGCGATTCCTGCTCTTTGTGTGTCTGCTCTGCTCCCAGGTACGAGGAGGAACCTCCGCAACGACCTGCTGGTAGCAGCCGATTCCATCACCAACACCATGTCATCGCTGGTGAAGGAACTTCATTCAGGTAAGAATTAATTTAGCGGCACATGTGTGCAGCAGAAAAAGGAGAGCTTGAAGCCACGAGTTGGAGATTTGTCTTTAGATTTATTTTTTATAAAAGCTATTTAAAGCCTAATGCGAGATTATGTGTTCATTTTTTCAATGATAAAATGAAAAATAATCTTTATGGCTAACATCATTGAGAGCTCCAAATACCTTCCGAACAGGCTTTCCATTGATTTTATCACTTGATAGTTAAGGCAGTACTCTGCAGGTACAAACCTGGCTGATAGCACCGTTGGTGATTCATGAAGCAGACCCACATCTAGCTCCCTCGCTCCTGAGCATATTGATCCGTGCATGTGTAACAGCACTAAGCAGCTTTTCCAGAGTACCCTGCAGGCATGTCCTGGACCACTTACTAGGCAGGAGAAGTGCCACTTCCCACTCCCACTTCTGGAAGTCAGAGCTCCGTAACAACACAAGCCAGCAAGTCAGAAGCCAGGGCAGATTTGTGAGTGAGTCTCCCCAAACTATTGCTTAGTGATGGCGATACTTGAGCAGCGGGTGAGACTCCTCTGCAGTGAATCCCCATTAGACGCCGTAATCACAGATATATAGTAAATGCACCTGAGGCCAATTGCAACAAAGGATTAAACAGCAATGTGGAAAAAGGATAATTATTCCCTTCATGCCTTTTTACTGTGCCGGTGCAGGTAAAAACCCTGATGGGACTGGAGCAGCTTCTGCTGTAGTCCAGGGATGCATCCTGTGGCTCTCGAGCTTTGTCGGCAACGGAGTATATGATCATTTAGGATTCCATCAGCTTGTTTGTGGGCTGCCTTCTCTTTTAAGAAAGTAAAGCATTCTGTATTCAGACTGAACCTCACGGTTTCTGTTTCGCGCCTCCCCCGGCCCCTTGCTGTATCTGGTAGTTGCATCACATAATCCCCCCCATAAACCTATCAAGCTCTGTATTAAAACCAGTTAGGCTTTTTGTTGCCACTGCCCTTAATGGAGAAGTCACAGTTATAAACCGGGTTGATATTTTACTGCTAAGCAGTAAATTCACCCCGTCTAAACCCTGCGTCTTGGCTGCAAAGGCATCTGTGAGTTAATAAAGTCTTTCATGTATGACAGCAGCATCACTGGTGCCACTGCAGTGAAGGGCCGTGTGTTTCTTCAATAAATCACCATGCTCAAGACACACAGCTCTCTTCCCTCTAGGCTGAAACCCGGTGAACAAACCCTCTGCCCAAAACAGATGTCTGCAGTAATTTATTTTTTGCTTTTAATAAAAGAGCGCATTTGCAGCGGTACGGCTGAGCTCAGGGTCTGGTCCGGGGTGGCTGGTGACAGAGCTGCTGTGGGCTGGACCTGCGGCTCTCCTGTCCTCCTCTGAAATCCCTGAGAGTTTGGCAAATGCAAACAGCCCGGGTTTGCGCTATCGACAGCCCTTTCAGGCTTGTCAGGGATCGTGCAAAGCAGTTATCATTCACAAGGGAGTGAAAATGGAATTAATTACAGTCTCCTACTTGAGGTTATGCAGATACTAAAGAAGGCTCCCTTGAAAGTATCTGAAATCATTTCATTTGTGTAAATTAGGAAAAGCATGAGTTATCCTCAGCTGATGGGAGTCAGTGGGATTTAACACATATTGTCCCGGAGGTAAGCTGTGAGAATAGACACCTCCTCCAGCCCCAGGCTCGCCCGATATAGCTGCAGGCATTGTGTTTTGAGCATTTTGTGAGACACTGGTGCGTGCACCACCCACGCCTCTGTTTGCCTCTCCGTACCTTTGCACGAGCTCAGAAGACAGATTCCTTTGGGAAGGAAACACTGCTCAGGGTTACCCCTTCCTAGATGGGCTTCCAGAGATGCTCTGATTGTCCCCCCCGTCTGCCTTCTCCTGTGCTGATAGTCTAATGCTCCTGGTGCCGTCAAGGGAACACTGACATCATTTTTACTCCAACTGAGCTTAAAAAGACACACACTGCTGATCTCCAGGGACCAGGCGTGATGCTGCTGGAGGTGGCTCAGCCCCGGCCCTGCAAAGCTGCCGAACGGGAGGCAGGTTCAGGACCCGGAGCGGCTGCTGAGCTCCAGGTCACGTCTCTTGTCGTTAAAAATGCGTTCGGTTTTGTCAGTGATCTCTTCTGCATTCGCATTAAGGACTCATCGGTAGCCATCGCTGAGTAGGCAGAGACTGTGTGACTCCCAGATGTCTCATCGGTCCTGCTGTCAAAGCAACAAAGAGAGCAAATGTTTGTAAGATCCCCTTTGATCAGATCAATTCAAAATGATTCAGTTTTTCAAATTGTGCCTTTTGTTGCAGGGTTTTCTCTCTTGCTCTCAGCAGCGTGTGAAGCAGGCAGAAGTGATATCGCTGCTGGTAATAACTGATACCTGTTTACACAGGTCTCATTGAAATGTTGCACAGAGAGATATGAGCCACCATCTGCAGAAGAATGTGACCTTCTGCTCCCGCTCTCTGCTACATAAATAAGAGCCTGGCCATAAACTCTCTTCAACTTAACCGGAGTTAAATATAATGAACCACCAGCTCTCAGACATAAAATGAACGCCTGTCTCTGGGGGCACAGCCTGTCACCAGTTATGTGGCTTTGCCCCCGTGTGAGCCATGGCGGCACTGAACACCTTGCGCGGGCAAACGGTGCAATGCCAGGAGGGACCCTCCAAGGCTTTCGCCTCACCATAAACCGTTCTCATTTTTCTCCCTTAGATTTGACCTCAGCCTAAAAGCCGTGACTTCCTTCCCACGGTGTATATTGCACGGTTCTTTGTTTCTTACAGTGCTGAAATAAGCGTGCACAAGGGACTTTGGTCCTAACGCTACCTGGGCCAGGTAGTAGTCCACTAGTAGTCCACTCCTTTGGACAATGTAGACACTGCTTCCAGCTAGCACTCTACAAGCTGTAATCATCCGACCAGGATGAAGTGGGGACTGTTTTGCCACCAGCAGTGAACAGGCACCGTGCCACAGAAGGGATGGTGATGTTTCCATCCAGGTTCTCCTTGGGAGCCTGAACACTCGTCCTCCTTCCCCTCCAATGCCAGCTATGCCTGAGAAGCCAAGTTCTTCCTTGCTGCAGAAAAGGCCCCCGAGTACCTGTTCTCTCACCTACTTGTCTCATGCGCGCTTTTTTCCTTTTTTTTTCTTGAAGCAGAGGAAGAAGATGAAGAAGAAATGGAAAAAATGCAGAATGGAAAGGACCGAGGTAAGGGGACAAACTACGGTCTCTGAGCCTTAAAGCATTTTCTGGTTTGCTCCTCTGCAGGAGATCAGTTTGCCGTCTCCATTTGGAGTCCGGGGAGAGGGCTCTGAGCGCAGATGGCTCCGGGTGGAAGCAGCCCACATTGCTGCTGCCGCTGTTACGCCACCTGCAGACACGGCACAGGTTTATCTGCCTGCTCCGTCCATCGCCACGCTGCCAGGTTGCTCTCTCCAACATCTGCCATGGCTTGAGATGACATCATGGCCAGGGTTTCTTCACCGTGTGTATTCGGCTTTCAAGAATGTTATTCTTTCAGCAAAGGTCACAGATCTTTGAAATGTGTAAGAGGAGGAGGAGGAGTTGCTTTGAGTGCTGCAAGAAACCCAGTTCAGACGAATATGTCAGAAAAAAAACAAAGCATGGGCTGGTTACCAGTGAAGTTCCTGAGCGGTGGGACCGTCATCGGCTGAACCGCTGCCTCCTGTGACCTTGGCTGGACAAATGTTCAGAATTACCCTGCTGATGGTAATCCCGTGTAGGCAGTGCCATCAGCTGAGCGGGGTTTCACAGGAGGTCTCTTTCATCTCTGCTATCCCTGGATTGCAGGTCTAGATACTAATCCTCCCCAGACCACGTCTTCCTTTGGTGTGAATGAATCCATAACATGTGCTAGCAGAGTTATTCCTGGGGCTGGAAGTGATCATCGCAGGCATGGAACGCAGCCCCGAGACTTGCAAACAACCGTGCAGCGTACGGTTGAGTTGGAAGGGCTCTGCAGGAGATCTGTTCCTCGTGTCGCACTCCACAAGCGAACAAAAAAGCACCTCCCAGACCCTCCTTGGGAAGGGGCCTTGCTCAGGGGTCTCTTGACTTTTGCTTTCTATATTTTAAACCAAAGCGTGAGAAACGGACTTGGACAGGTTTGAATCAGCCCAAGCATTTCTGTCTCACTTGAGCCAAACCTAATTTCAGCATCAACAAACTGGAACTTTTTATCCTTTTTTTGTTGTACGCACATTTTCCTTCTGGCTAAGCTGAAGTGACAGGGCTCACATTTCTCACTGAAAGAGCTTGTTTTCCTGAGTTTTCCTGTCCAGCGAGTTCTGCAAAGCATTCGGGTGTTTGGAAATGCTCTGTTTCCTGATGGTTTGTCCATCAGTATTAGACGTTATAAGTTTGTAGGAAGAAGTGCAGTAGAACAGGAGTTTTCAAAGCAGAATCTCATTGGCTCTAAATCACAGGGCTCTCTTTGCCCTAGAACATTCCTCTTCAGTTAAATATTTTAGATGCTTAGCAGATGACCCTTCTGCTTTTTTTCCAAATGTGCATTGTATCTTGCATGGGAAATAGGGAAAGGGGGATTTTGAAGAGTTGAGATGTGATGTATGGTAGCAGAGATGTAGTAAGACAAATTCAGCTCTGTTACTCATTGCAGCAGCGTTGGAGTCGGGGAGGGGACGATGGAGACGTGTAACCAAAGGCAGAACTTGGTCCAAAAGCCTTCATGTGGAATGTAAATATTATCTCTGCCAGAGAGTAAGTGATTTCTTAATGTCACAAAGTTAGTGAGATAAAAATCTGGCAGAAAAATCAAGGAACGATCGATACATAAACTGCAGTCCTCCTGCGGCATGTGTACGCTATGGGAGCTCCTCCAGACACCAAAGCACACGTGGCGATGGGGAGTCCGGCTCTGGGGTTTGCGCTGGCTACGTCGAGGACGGGCGTTAGGAAAGCGCTTGCTCTCTGCCCCATGTTACCTATAGGGACCCGTGGCCGGGATGCTCCGGGCGCGCAGGGTCTGACGGGGCTGGCCAGCAGCGCCCCGTGCCCACGCCGAGCTCTACCTGCCCCGACTTCATTCTTTGCGCAGTGACTGTGTGTGCATCCCCATCTCAGCAAAGCTCTCCCTAGCTGCAGCATCAGCCCGTTGCTTCTTCCCATCCTGAACGGACAAGAATTAAAATTACTTGTAGCTCGTGTATTCCCCAGCTTCTACACTGGCATAGACAAGGGAGATGCCGGTCCTCGCAGGGACGCTGCTGCGATGTGTTTCCTAGAGGCAGCATCGCCCTTGTGCTTCCTCACAAGTTTCTTCACAAAGTTGTTTCATATTTCTCTGTGTCCCAATTAATCAACCTCAGAACTCGCTTCCCCGCTGGAGAGGCTTACGTTTGTACACTTGATATAGCAGCGGCGTGGTACGGCTTTAGCAGGATGAAATCATTCGGGAAGACTCCAAGTTGGCTGCGTCTTTTGTGGTTAGGATTACAAATTAAGCACCATCTCCAGAGAAGATGTCTGCGCGCGTTTCCAGGCACAGAAGAGCACAGGCGGGAGCTGGCAAAGCCATGTCCATCCAGTTGCGTTAGACATCGCCCCACGGCAGTTCAGCCAGCCTTGGCGCTCTCTTTGTGTTACCCCTTCTTGAAACCTGGTGTCACGTACCCATACATTGCACGTGTGCCAGACGTTATTTCAGGGTGGACGCCTGCCTGGCTAGGGCTGTCCCGCAGCCACTGTTTGCCGTGGTCCTGCTGCCTCTCTCCAAGACAGCACGCTCCTGTTGGTGACCGAGGGGTGGACCCATGACAGTATCACCTGAAACAAGACTCTCCACGTGCTGGTCCCTTCATGTATTGTCCGTTTGGATTTTATAACCCCCAAACCGCTAGAAAAGGGACTAAAATGCTGTGATCTGCTCTCTCAGACTGCTGGAAGGAAGGGCATGGTTTGCAGCCCCATAAAATTTGTTAGACAAAAATATCCAGTTTGAAATACACCTGCCCATACTGATCAAAACTGGAGTCCATGCAGCCGTCTGTTCTTGGAGGATAGGACAGAGTCCATCCTCGGCAGGTTTACAGATGACACCAAACTGGGAGGAGCGGCTGATACCCCGGAGTGTCGTGCTGCCATCCAGAGGGACCTCAACAGGCTGGAGAAATGGGCTGGCAGGAACCTCATGCAGTTCAACAAGGAGAAGCGCAAAGTCCTGGGAACAGACCCAGGCACCAGGACAGGCTGGAGGCCACCTGCACACAGCTTTGCAGGGAAGAACCTGGGGGTCCTGCTGGACACCGAGTCGACCATGAGCCAGCAATGTGCCCTTGTGCAGCGAACGCGAATGGCATCCCGGGCCGCATTAGGCAAAGCATTGCCAGTCGAGGGAGGGGATCCTTCCCCTCTGCTCAGCACTGGTGAGGCCACCCCTGGAGCGCTGCGTCCAGTGCTGGGCTCCCCAGTACAAGAGGGACACGGACAGACTGGAGAGAGTCCAGGGAAGGGCCGTGGCGATGATTAAGGCATTGAAGCATCTGTCACAGGAGGAGAGGCTGAGAGAGCTGGGATCAAATCAACGTGTACAAATAACTGACGGAAAAGAGTAAAGAAAACTGAGCCAGAGTCTTCCCAGTGGTGCCCAGAGAAAAGACAGGAGGCAATGGGCACACATCGAAATACAGGAAATTCTGTTTGAACACAAAAAATACTTTTTAACTGTGAGGCACACACAACCTGTGTTGCCCAGAGAGGTTGTGAGGTCTCTATCCTTGGAGATACTCAGAACCTGATGCGTCAAGGTCCTGAGCAGCCTGCAGTGGCTGACCCTGCTTTGGGTGGGGGGTTGGACTGGGCGATCCCAGCGATGCTGGCATTTCTGGGATTCGGTAAGATCAGGAGCACTTTTCTACCTACCTTGCATTTCAGAGGACTTGCCAATTATCCCAATGCCTGTAAAGCTGTTTGCAGTCCTGAGAAGTTACCCATTAGAGCAATAAGAGATGGGGAGGGTAGATTTTTCATTTTACAGGAAATAAAATTACCTGCTTTCTAAACGTGCCTTTCCCCCTGTGTTGCAGGTTAGGTAGACGACTGCAGGCTGTACAGTAATTCAGGTAAGGATGGATATCTTTTTTCTTCCCATCTCCAGCAGCGCTGCTCTGTACGCGGCCGTTGCAATGCACAGGACCAAGTCCCTGGTCAGCTCCTGCCCTTGTCCTTTATCTCCTATTTCTGTACAAGGAAGGTTCCCCTCCTGCCCATCGCTCCACAACCGTTCAAAATGATGTTGAGGTTTTTTTCCTGTTAAGACCCATTTTGCTCCTGCTGCAGACGGTGGGAAAACATCATTAACTTCAGGGAGAACAGCATTATCTCCTATTTTGTTAGTATTGCTTCTGTACTGAGAGGCCTCAGCCAGGAAATAGGACCCTATTGTGATGGACGCTATCCAGATGCACTAAAAATACAATCTCTACCCTCAAAGAGCCTGTGCTTTAAGTTATAATAAGGCACAACAGATGGATAGACAAACAGGTGGTTGGAGAGCACGAGATAGCGCTAAGGGAGAAAGCCTGAGCCCTACGGTGACAATGCCTCTGAAGGACCCGAATAAGATCCTTATCTTCACCCGTCTGAAAAGCTTGTAGGACGGCATCGGATCAGGTTTCCACGCTCCCCATGCACTCGCTGGATATTTGCCTTAGCCACAATGCCCATCTTCCACCATTCCCAGTGGGGAAGAAGGAGGGTTCTCCTGGCAGAAAAACATCGCATTGGACACGCGCGTAATTAGCCAGAAAGGGATGGGGACTGGCGTAGCAGGTAACCTTCTTTCTAGGACCTTTTCCTTTACACTGTAGGTTAGTTAGAAACCAGACAGGGGGAAGTCTTTTATCTTTAACTTAGCAGTTCACACCCAGCCCATGGTGATAGTGGGCCAGATGAATTAGTCATGATGGATCCGAAACACAATTTTGCATGATAAAACCACCACAGTTGTCCTCTAGAGGTAATTTGCACAGGAGAAGAAAGGGGGTTTGCCCTCCTTGCAATTTCAGTGCTGGATAGAGATAACCCGAAAGTGGCTTGAGAGTTTTTCTGGTAGTTTTTATATTTGAAATTCAAGTCCTGCCTCATCTGAGAAACAATCTGGTAACTCAAGAAGGAGTGAAATTATACCATTAGAGAGGAAGCCAGCAATGGGGAGCTGTTTATACTGGCTGTGTGTGGCTTTTTCTTAATGTCCCTTTAACTCTAATGGCTTTGGAGAAGAGGATGGCTTTGACCCTGGTCACCCCTTAGCCACTGATCTGGAGATGAAAAGCTCCCTGTTCTCGGAGAAGCCCAGCAGTGCCTCCAACAAAGCAAGGACCGGTGCTGATGGGCGCTAAATTAGAGACAACTGAAAAAATACGAGAGAGAAACTACGTTCAGGTTTCTTTATCCTCCAGAAAGATTGAAGACAGACATGTCCGTGAAAGAAGAGAACCCTTTAAACTGTGGTGGTTCTTCTTCAAGTTCCTCACATTCCCATTTGTTGTGCCAGGACCTCTGATGGGCCCTCTTGAACCTTGCTGGTGGCAGAGTCCGGCCAAGCCGGACCGGTGGCTCCGGCCGCCCTTTGGCTCTGGTTGCCCACTGATGACGGAGGGGGCTGGGATGGGCAGCATCGTCAAGGGCTTTCTGTTAGCAGATCTTGGCTATTCTGGGGAAAAAATGCCCAGCACCAACCTCACCTTGGCTTGCGAAGTCAAGCGTGTCAGCTCATGGGCCCTTGCTCGCAGGACCTGGGGACCTGCCACGGCACCATGCTCCTGGTGTCCTGGTGTCATTGACTCAGGAGCTCATGTTTCCTCTGTTTTCCGGGTTGTCCGGGGTCCAAGGTGAGGAGCTCTGGGCTCAGCAGGATACTTGATGGTCACGGGGGGTGCTGCACATTTGGTCCACTCAGAGCTTGCCGCGGGTGGCCCCAGAGATGCACAGCCCCAGCCAGAAGTTTCAGGAGGTCCCAGCAGAGGAGCTTGGCTCCTGCCCTGCGACCGTGCGGGAGCTGATCTCCAAAACCATGACCAGTCAGGCTCGAGCTCTGCTCTCTGCAGATGCTGACGGCGTGTTGTGTGTTTCCGATGACGCAGGCACGGAGGGTTACGCTTACGATGAAGAGACGTCTCCCCGTCCTTTGGAAGAGGCACGTTTCAGCTGATACATTCACCATCGTGCAACTGTGACCGATCTCAACCACCTGCTGACGAAAGCGGCTTTCTCTGAACCGCCTGGAGGGCTTTCGCCGTCGGCATTTGCCTCTTAGGTCATTGCATGTACTATTTTCCTCCATGTGTTTACTAACGATAATCAGACAATGCCCCATCAAACTCAGCAATTTATGGGAGGTTTAAAAAAAAAAACCACACAAAAGGAAAGCTAATACCCCCTGCTCCTGCTAAGTGTACTGATCTTTTTTGATTGCCTCCCAAATGGTGTCATCATCGCGTCACATGCCGGTTATTTCCTCTTGACTTCTGCCCCTCGGTATGCATGAAAAAATGGGTGTAGAGCCTCCTGGGTCCCTTGCGTGTGACACGAAGGGGATTCTGCCTTCAAAAAACCCACCTTCTCAAAACACCGCTGTCTGTCAGTGTCTGGTTGCCATCGTGTGTGATGTCACGTGTCATCCTGGGAGTAAACGGCAGGGCATGTCACGGGTGGAGGGATGCACAACGAGAGGAGCGGCGGCAGCAGCAGCAGTCACGGGCCACCAGCCGCCTGCCTCCCCGCGTTCCTGGCTCTGCTTCTCTTCAGACTGTTAAAAAATCTCCCTTTACAAGCAGGGAATTCAGGGACGACCATTGCTAGGCTTAGATTAGCATCTCTGCATTCATTTTCAGGAGTCGAGTTCAGTTTTGTTTAAAATTAAGGGAAATAACCGAGTTGTGTAGTCTGAGGCTGGCAGCTCACCGCTCTGATCCTTGCTAGGCTTTTCTTCCATAGCTGCTTAGAAAACATTGTAATCGGTTCCAATCACTTCTGATTTTTTTATTTTTTTTTCTTGGTGCTTAGGAATGTTATTTTTAGTGGAAGGAGCTGAGTGCCCTAATGCATCTATAAATATTTATCAAGGGTGATGAATGGAAAGGACTGATAAACCCTGAAACCAGCTCTCAGCTTTTCTTCCTATCTGAACCGATACGCAGCCTCGGTTCTCGGTGGAAAGTGCTCGTTGGGTACCTACAGCCCTTGGGGAGAGAGAAAATAAACATACGTGGTGGCCACAAATTTAGTTGAATATAAATATTGTGAATGAGCTGTCAAGAAGGAAAGGAAAGTGATGATAACCTGGTGCAGCATGTTAGCTTTAGCCTGCCAAGCAGTGTGCTCGCGGGGACAGGGAAGGTTTCATGTGCATTTTCGGCTGAATTTGCTGAATTAGGACCTGCAGCGGCTTTGGCTTCAGCCACGGGCAGGTTTGAGCACCGAAAATAGGAATGTCTTGCTGACAGCCGTGGTGAAGGCCATCGGCAGCTGGAGGTGTTACGGCTGTGCTGACCAGAGGCGTGAGCAGCTGGGGGGTTTGCATTGCGCCGGCGGGTTCTCCTGGCACCCCATGCGGGCAAGAGCCTGGGGGTTCCCGGCCGAGCCCTCCCGGGTCCGGCGTCCGA